CTCTTCTACTCCTCCTCCTCTCTCTCTCTCTCTCTCTCTCTCTTTCTTACTTTCTCCCTCTCTTTCAAACTCTTGCTTCCTTTTGCTCGCACTCGCTCTCAATCTTTGACCGCTAAAAAAATATTTGATTCAAGATCGTGTGAGAATCAAGATAGAGCTCAATGAAATATCTGCCTTACATGAGCGTCTTTTTAGTATGCGCGTAAGAATAAGTAAATTAATTAAATAAGTAATATAAACGGAGAGTACTTTAGATGCTGCAAGAGATTCGTGTTGTCTTTCCTGAAAAGCTAGAGTTCAAAAGTGTTTACAAGATATCACATTTAGACATTTCTGTGTACTTAATTTTATTACATTTTGCTTGAATGGCAGAAATTGACCAGAACATGGAACTTGCAGAATCTCATATTCGTCTCTTAACGCTCGATTTAGATCACTCATAATGCAATAACGAGTAAATTACAAGTATGTGATGTTAATCTCCAAGTAACACGGCAGAGTTTAATGATCGAATTTCTTTGCTTTGACCATTAGTTTTTCACTGTATCATATGAGAATGCTTGATTTCTAGGGTGCTTGAAAAGGGAGCGTAGAATGAGATTCATTATTTCATCTTCGTCACGACACCTCCGTAACATAGATTTTCAGTTTCCGTGAACGATAAATCAGGTAAAAAAAAGTCAGACCGAATATGATATGTAAACGTTATAAATGTTCTCTAATCACTACTTATAAGAATAGTTAAAAATTGTATGATCTTCGTACATTTGACGTGCGTGCACTATTTTCGTGGATAAATTTAGTTTGATGGTCCCTTAGAGTCTTATTGGTTTTATTTAAAGCACTACCTCTTTATAAAATTCATAATTTACGCTCTGGGCTCTTTTTTCAAACACCGTAGATCAGACGCGAATTACATCTTCTTGAGCAAAATAAATTATTTACAAAGAAATGATGTAACGGGATGTCGATAAAATGATCTTACATAAAACTCGTGCCTCTTTATTACAAACGAGTGTAATAGCGACGGAGGATATGCGTTGAATGACGATGGATGATAAGAAGAGAAATAATGAAATCAACTATCGTAATATCCTCGAAATCAACAATGACGATGACAGTGTACTCGTCTTGACGCCTTCGATCGCACATTATTATACATTTTTTTTTTGCAAAATTTCCTACAGGCGTCGTACTCTTTAAATCTACGCCCCTCTACAAAGAATGTCACTGAGAGAAAATCGCAAATCGATTGCACTTTCGCATGTACGGATAAAATTGCGATTAAAGAAAGAGTGCATGCATATTGCATTAAGGCAAATTGCTATTCACTACCGAATTAATCGTTATCGATTCACAATGGCAACATCACTGACGGGTGAATTTATTAAAATGGATTATACTTTCATTTTTTTTTGCAGCAATAATCTTTATTTCTTGTTCTTTTTTTTTACAAAAACACTACTTGGCACAGCTAATAGTTTATATATTAAATATTTTGCATACGAGAACAATCGACATTAATAACGAGCACGATTGTCACTCTTCTACAGCAGTATGCTCTCACATCCGAAACTAATTGCAGGAAATTATCGTTTATCTTAATTAATTAAGGCAACTTCAGCGTAATTAAAACTTCTTTTCTCTCAGTGCGTGTAACCGAGCGCCGAAAGTGACAACGATGCAACAGTGTGGAAGTAATAATAAGCTGTAAGGTGTACAAGGTAAGCTCTACTTTACAACGATTGTGTCTGTGTATGTGTACGTGTATGTGTCGTGTGTGCATGATCGTGAGAAATCGAGAAACTTAGAAACGTAAAGCGAACCACTCACGCAGTCAACGATTTTCTTTTTTCGAAGGAATTCTCTTCTTTTTTTTTTTCGCGTTACTACTCGTGGCGCGTGATCAATCCAACAACAACAACGGGCACGTTTGCATTTATGTTCTATGGAGAGGTGTGATACAGCAGCAATACTAATCATAATAATAATTATAAGAATCATTACAAGAATCATAGATTATAGATCGTAGTAGTAAGTATTAGTGTTAGTAGAATGTGTGTGTGTGTGTGTGTGTGTTTTGTGTGTGACAACTGACAATACAAATATATCTTCTAAACCTAGGATGCATCGGGAGAAAATCGAAGGTGAGAAGATAAGGGGGGAGAGTAGTCCCGGGTTGACAGAGTGAGACCGAGGAATCCGAAATTTAATTTCCCAGAATGCTTAGGGCACACTTTAGGGGGTGAAGTCCCTCATCGACGAAGTCCCGCGGGTTAAATTAATTGTTGTTTTTTTTTTTTGCGTGAGTTCTTCGATTCGATTTCACGGGCGATCGGGATGAGAACTTCGAGCTCAGGGAGGGTCTTTTTTCCTGGTGTTTCAACTAAATTCTGATATGTAGATTGACGTTGGGCGAGGGTCACCTACGTGTGCTCTCTCCGAGTTTGTTCGCGTTAACCTCGAGTTTCCCTTGCGCGCATGTAACGCTAAATGTGGCTGCCGGATCCCGCGATGGTCCTATTTTTTGATTATGTTCACATTGTTCGAAGCGGCTGTCGAGGATTTCGGAAAGCGCCCATCGCGCGACGGTCGACGCCGCTCAGGACGTATTGCAACAACGTATGTCGTATTCTTAATTAAGTAACCCTTATCACGTGGTCCTTTCTAGATCATAGCCTTAATTGTAATATAGACAGAGAGAAAGTAATATATCGTTTATATACCGTTAATCATTGTTACAACTGGTCCACAGGCGGCTCTGGGTAAGAATCACTCCCGCTATCTTCCACATAATTCATGATAATTGTTCGTATTTTTTTTTTTTTTAATTAGAATACGAGACGAGATTTGGGAACAAACAGCCACATTTATCATTAGATGTACGATATGAACATGGGCTATTGATTTCCACACTACGACTAGCGTTCTACCGTTCTCGCAACATGTCGGGGTGACATCAGCTATTTGCAACGTTGAACGATATGACGCTTCGCAAACAAACGATTCAAAGATATGTAACGTCGACTACAAGATATAGTTCTCCTCTTCTCGCATGTACACACACACACTCTCTTCCCACTTATCTCTCTCTCTCTCTCTCTCTCACACTTTCATTCTCACTCTCTCGATCCATGCGATCCTCAACACGCCAGCCGAGACAAATCACCTGTCAACGCCCGCCCCGTATACGTAGTGACGACGAATGCAGCTATATAAAGTATAAGTATATCTTATATACTTACGGTAATTGTATGTTGTATGTAAGTATGTGTGTATACGTATACATATACGTACGCGTACGTATCGCCGGCCTACAGCAGGCGTTTCGCGTCGCTCCGGTGCGATCATCACGAAAGCGTCTCTCCACTGAGTCTCCCATTCACACCGCTCTCTCTCCCTCTCTCTCGCTCTCTTCCTCTCTCACTCATTCTCTCTCATCGTTTTTTGTGTGTTTTGCGTGTGAGTGTGTCGGTTGTTTTCGTGTGTCTCGTTAAGTGTATTTACTTTTTACATAAAATATTGCGTACCAGACGATTTTACAAAACTTTACCCTGGAATAATGTACTTTACACTGTGCGAGGCGACCGATTGCGAAAAAATGTCACGGATACATTCTTTTTTTTTTTTTTTTCGTAGATACTTTTTCCCTTGCTGCACCACGTGCGCGCGATATCGTTTAGTCGTGACCTCGTTTGTGACGATCGATTCACATCTGATCGAGTGCAGCGTGTCCCTCGCTCGACCCTTTCTCTCAGTAATAACTTCCATTGGTCGCTGTATATTGTCGATTGAATTTTGAAAATCATTATATTAGGAATAAAACTATCATAGAATTAAAGGTCAAAAGATTTGCGATCACCGTTGAAAGAATCGAGGAAAGCACGCGGAACTCGACTGTAAGATCACATCTTGCGCACTCCATGCGCGCACACGTGTTTTCGGTGAGCGACGATAAGCATTGAAAGACGCAGTCGCAAATCGTACACGCGACATTTTATACCTCACATTATTATTTTTTTTTGTAAAAAATTTTATTCTTTTTTTTTTCTCTGTTACATCGCACTACACCTCGTTTTGTTTACCCCTTTCTTTCTTAGTTTTTCTTTCGCGTTAAAAATTTAAAATACTCGTATTATACGTAAGTATTTATGACCCTGTTTTCGTAAAGGCTTTTCAACATAAATCGATCCTGGCCGAGGAAGATAAAGGAAATAGGATCCAAGACACAGAGAGAAGAGGACAAAGAGGGATCGAGAAGACGCGACTGCGTTGGGAAGAGAGAACAAAGGGTTCGTTCGTCTGTGAACCACCCTTCCTCCGTTACGTATTTCTCCATTGACGCTTCTCGATGGTGAACGAAAAGACAACGAAAGAATAACGGTAACGTAGAATTTATACGAAGAGACTTCGACGATGGATCAAGTCGCAACAATCCGCAATAGCGTGTCGCCACATTTCCCTAGCAAAGAAAATCCGCGTAAAGCAGTCTTTCTTTTCACGTGGCCACAATAGAAACCACCATCATCGCAATTCTCACTTTCTGTGGAATATTTTTTTTTTTATATAATCAATACCAGTCGAAGACTTGTAGTTTTCTACAGTCAAATCGCGTGACGAAACGCGTATTCTACGAAAATACAATATTTCACGACGAACACTTTTCGTATTAAAGAAGGGGATATCTAATTTATTGTTCTCATCGATAATTGATATGACTTACGTTTTCATTTGAAAAAGAACACCTTCACGACAAATTGTAAGATGATGTTATAAGTCTCGGAATCAGACTTCTGCCTTGGTAACAATCTATTGCAGATTGAACAACAGATTGCTGCAAGTTTAATCTAGTAATTGTCAAAGAGAAAAAAGAGCGGGAAGAAGAAGAAGAAGAAGAAGAGGAAAACACGGTAGAAAGTAATTACGCTAACGAGAGGAGAGCGAAATTTTTGACTCCGTTTAATCTCTTCGCGAGATGACGCGAGAGTCATTCTTTTCAATGTATCGCAAGTGCAAAAACTCAAAGTTTCCTATGCAAAGTTGTAATATCGTATTTCTTTACTATAATTTCGACCTCCTGTCGCATTCAGCAAGAGCATATTTTCTAATTTACATACATTCGAGCTGCCGTGAAAACGTAATTCATTTATTACTGCCTTCCTGATATCCCGATTCGACGAGATTACTATCTTTTGCAAATTGTAACTAATATATTAACATATTAAAATTTCTAACAAAACTTTTTAATTGAGAATAAAATGGAATAGAAGAATAATGCATAAAAGTATTTTATTCAGCGACATTTGAATCTCTAAGACTGCAGCCGCTGAGATATTGCAAGATATTGACGATAAGATAAAATTGAATTATAAAAATTGTTCCAAGTTTGCGAGAATATAATTTCACTGCGATCACATTTGCGACGAAAATTCTCGCAACTCGCGCGAATCTAAGATTAATCAGCATAAAGCGTAATCATCACGTAGAAGAAAGCAAACGCGAGCTAATCTCGTCGATATTTAGAGATTTGTCAGGGAGGATTCGCCACTGGAAAACAGCGATTATAATAAATGGCGATTTGGCACACGTGTTACACTGCTCGCAATTTACATTGGCTTGGCACAAAGTTGAGCCGCTCGGCGATGGGTTTTTTTTCACAATCGATTTTTTTGGCACCTAAATCGCATCAAATGGTTTTTGGCTCCGTGATCGACAGCCTTCTTCCTTATCATGTTGACCTACCTACATGCGCTCGATTTTTAATTCGCCTCGATTAATGCGGGGAAAAAAAGCGCGATGGAAAGACCGATTAGACGACAGATCGAAGGATCGACTAGCTTTGTATACGAAGATTTTCTAATTACATAGAATATTGATTATTATTTAATAGTAATCGCATATTCTAGTCTTAAACAACAAATATTGTTTAAAAGTTCGTAGAAATTTGAAAGTTATTCATCCTTTGCTCCATTACCAGCTCGGGATGAAGCATCTTACGAATACAAAGTGTTGCATTTCAGCATCATTCATTCTAGCAATGATACTTTTGCATTTTCTATTCTATGCCAATTCTATTCTATTACTGTACTCATACAGCCGTTTACTTTCGAATTTTCCTTCGCGTTATACATTGTTAGTGACAATGCAATTTTCCAAAAATTGCAGTTTGTTTTAGGTGTTTGCAACACACTTGTCGTCCGACCGGTCCTCTAATCGCGCGACACTACGGCGTCAGGAGATCGCGAACAATCGCCCGATCGCGCCGGATTATTCCTTCGCGATTCGAGGAAGAAAGGCTTTGCCCTTTAATTCCACGCCCCGCCGGGGAAGGGCGCGAGACGATTCAATATCCTATAAAAACTAAGTTTATTTCTTAGCTGATTGCCTTGCGTTACGGTTAAGTCGGGTCCCAGCCGAAAATTGCCGCGGACGCACCGATGTTCATTCCCGCAGCTTCGCGAGACAACTTTTCGCAGATCGAAGCTCGCGACAAGCACGCGTTCCATCTTAGCAACTGACTCTCTCTCACTACTGTCGAGCCGTTCCGAAAGTCGGGGTGTGAAAGAAACGCTTTGGAAATCTTGCAGAAGTAGATACCTTGCAGCGATTTGTACTTGTATCTCGACTCGAGTTTCAGCGTTTCGCAAAAGTCTGATTTCACACCTCGATTGAGGATGGACGGCTCGCGTACCGCACGCGCGATTCGCGATCGCGACAATCCTCGGACAGGACCCACGCAATAAGGATAAGGCCCCTGCACTAACAGATTGCTCTACGCCACAACGATATGATCGCAATTAATGCTGACATTTGCTCGCACTTTTTCACACTTTTTCCTTTCTCTTCTTTAATACACCGTGTCTGCGAGGCGAGTCGTCGAGCGTTCCGAGCCCGCTCTCTGCGATCGCGTTTTGCCGTCGAACACTTCTCACTAGCTCGTGTGTGTATCTTAACATAATGAAGGGGAAGGGGCGTACGTACCCGGGACCATTCAACGATCGCGTTATTTTCTCTTTCTCTCCCGCTCACGCAATTCCGACACGCGCGAAAATAACCGCGTTCTCGTTGAAACATTGGTCAGCGTCGGTTGCGTCCAAAGTTAGGTCTAACCGTTCGTGTAAAACACAAGCTCTCTTACGTGTAACTGACTTTAGTCAACGGCACAGATAGCTTCGACTAACTAACATCTTACATTACTCCACGTTTCTGCCCAGAACACGCCCCTATCTACAATATAGAAAGCAGATATCGTTAACTGCGGTTAGTGCTAACTAATATTGGTGCAACAGATCTTGAGGGGATACAATCTAACGTGTCCTAATCTCCTCGTTGATCGTACTTAGATTAATCTCCTACTTGTTCCGTCTCTCCGATATTTTTTTTTTCCCCTCCTCTTTATCTCCAAACACGAGTTTACACGCGATAGACGATACCTTAACGGTTACTAGAAACTACAGAGTCGATCGAGTCGAAGTGCCCATACAAGGTGCTTCGAAATATACAATTAATCGAGTTGAATGATGATACACGCCGGATAAATATAGGCTAGCTTATCGGAGAGCAAAAGAGATTATTAATTATTCGTAGCCTAGTCATATGTGTCACTGGATATGCTTCTGGAATACGTCAGCGCGACAAAAGGACATCCTCGGACAGACGGCGGATAGACTGGATGCGGTAACGAGAAAACCATCGGCTACAACAGAACTGTCTAACCGGTCCTATTCTTCGATTTTCCGTCGATCAGTTCATTTCATTACAAAACTCTGTAGAAGCTTGCTTCGAGAGACAATTGTAATAATACTCATAGATTATTCCAGCCCCTTAATTACTGCATATATCGAACAGAATTAAATCTTTTTAATAAGACAAAGTAAATCCTACAGAGCATCAAAATTTCAACATAATTGGAAATTTCGCTAAGATCTTAGACTTCCCTGCAATATCATTTCTCCTCCTCCGATTCCCAAGTGACTTTCAGTTAACCATTTCTGTGCAGTCATTTAATTATGTATAATAATGCTAAGCCAGCCAGAGACTTTGGAGAGTGAATAGGATTTTCGGTCAGAGAGTACTCTCCGATCTACATATTTCAGTCTTCTCCGTTAATTTTTCCGATTTCGGACTTCGATTTCATAGAAATCCGAAAGTTCTACAGAATTTCGTTTGTAATCCCATTCACTCATCATTGCCGTAGCTTCGTAATTATTGTAATTATTGTGATATTATAATTTTTATAATTAGCAATGATCTCACGTCCGTATTCAAAACTGCTCATCAATTTTTATACCGTATTGTATACATTTTATACGTCCCTTACGAGAATTATCACTTATTACTTATTGCTCTTGGCACATCTAAGCTTGCCTCTCTCATGCTGAACCATTAAAATCATTTTTCCTACGCTATCGAGAATTCACGACTTGCAGAAAAACGCAAACGCGCGTTCTCGAAAATTATTTTCAATTTATTTCAACGCGACAAGAGATGCCTTGAAATTTAGATCATAGCGTCTGCAAAGGTACTATAATAGACAAACCAGAATATTCAGATCTCTTTCCCCGCTTTTGTATAAACAGCACGCGTTTTGGATACGAACGTCAAAGAACCTCACGTTACGCACAGGGGCTTTTCGAACAAAAGACTTTAATCTTTTCACGAGATTCTTGTTCGGGAAAAGAATGCCGATTGTCGCTGAGCGAAGCAATATTGATAACAAACATTAGAATGTTCTCATCTTATTTATGCGGCTTATACGTTTCTTAAGAATAGATCGCGATGGTCCGCAGCGATGCAGATTCCGAAAGCATTTTTCGAAGAAATAAGAAATGCACGCGTACCTTAAAGACACATTTGAAGTCTACGGAGGATTAAACGTGGTCGCCATTTTACTGCAGCGTTTTCGCGCAAGAATAAACTCTTCCCCCTCGACGCACTTTGAAAAAGTGAAAAGTCCTTTTTACCTCTCATCCACTTCGGCATTATCTGTCCAATTCAAAGCGGCGTGCGATATTTAATTTTAACCCCTCCCAGTACCCAAGTGGCACGTATCATGCATCCGGTTTTCGGTGGTCATAAAAAAATAATAACGTCAACGCATTACACGCATTGGAGTAGAAAATATTCGAATTTCAAAAAACTTGATAGCCAAAATATAAATGTACAAAGGATTAAATTTCTTTTTTTTTTTTTACATTTGATTCGGTACTGAAAGGATATTCGTCAAGAGACACAGTTCGAGTGGGAAGATCGTGATTTACCTTTACGTAAATGCGCGCAGCAATCATCTCCCGTTTTTCTCTTCCAATTTCAGAATCACCCAGCGATTGAATTCCTGTCGACCATTCGGGAGGATATACGCACGCGCGCACGTACATACTTCACCTACAAAAGTGAATTCCTAAACATTGAACGAATCTCCCCTACTTGTCGCGTCTCTTCTCTCTTTGTCTCTCTCGCGCTCGTAAACGCTCATATGTACACCCATGCACTCAGAGTCTTTCTTCCTTTTCCCATCTCTTTCTCTATCGTATTTCAATAATAAGTACTCCTTCTCTCCTTTTACTCTTTCTCTCGCTCTCTCACTCTCTCGCTCTCTCTCTCTCTCTCTCTCTCTCCGCGAAGTGCCTTAAAAATTGATCCTTAACTACTTACTAATAATCGATTCTAATCACAGCAATTATTTATTGTTGATATACACAATCATACAGCGTCTCTCACTAATTGTTATTTTCATCTTTTTTTGTGTCGACTTTTTTTTAGCAGAGACTACTTCTCGCTCGAACGATGCCGTTGCTCGTGTCGCGTTTTGCCTTTTTCCCTTATATAATTATTACTGTACGCCGTCATCGTCTATCTATCGGTGGAGAATGGGGGAGCACGGGCATTAGTAAGGGTGAAGAGGGAGGAGATGTTGTGAGAGGTGTGCCTTGTTGCCACGATGAGAAAAGAGAGAAATACTTTTGTGTTTTTCATTTCTTCGAAATGTATAACAGAGGATTCTTTCTCCACAATGACATGTATATAAAAATAATTATAAATAACAGGATTAAAAGTTTCTCAAATTCAATTTTTAAATAACTCACCGGACTCTCGCGATACCAATTTTATGCCTTAAAGCTCATATATATCGATCCAAAAATAAGCGTATCGAATCCATACAGAATTTCTTTTCTTCCTGCGGTCTCTTCTCTCGCAAGACACATACAGACTGTGTCGCAAAACGTGGTAATGTCTTCTGAAAATTTAATTGGTGTTTTAATTACAGATACTTTTTAGCCCTTCTAATATTCGTAATTAAAAAAAGTTATATTTTATTTTATTTTAAATAATTTTTACATCAATAGAAATTTCTAATGTTCGCTTAGATAGGTCTAAAAGTTGCGATATAAATGATTGTCTCCAATTAAATTTCTCCTAAAAAAGTATCTACTCTAAACACAAGTCCCACTTTTAACAACACAACTGTATTTTGAGCGAAATTGGCTCGTGTTTTGCACGGAGGAGTCATTCGCAACTCATTCATTCAGAGAAAAAATGGTGAAAGCGTATATTGCGATCGAAATGAGAAAATATATCGATGTAATAAATAACGTGAAATCGCAGATGCCGATATGAGATATTAAAATCACTTTCAACTAAAAATTCATCGTATAAATAACGAGATATCCCCGAACTAATAAATATGTACAACGTGAAAAATCATATTTACAACACGTATCGAAAAGAGCGAGCACCGCGAAATACTTTCGATAAAAATAAAAAAAAGAAAGAAAGACAATAACACGAAAACAACTCCACGGCAAATATAAATTAGAATTGATACAACAATCAACGTTTCTTTTCCTTTTTTTCGAAGGGTTTAATTTACATATTAAAATTAAAAGCGATTTTACGCGAATCGGGAAAGATGTATAAAAGTGATACATACGCGCGAAGACATCGATTATTAATTGAGCTGACACCGGAAGCACAGACTAACATTTTCTAACGAATATTTTTTTTTTTCACTTTTAAATTTATGTTTGGCACATAATGGAAGTTATCGGTACAGGATATATCGCAAGGTGTAAATCGTCCGCGCCACTACCAATTACATTGGCATTATCTTGCTTCACAACAGAATTCGAAAACTAGTTACACAGCTATCATACATTCCAGCAATTTTCTTAGCCCTATTTTAAATAATTCATAAATTTAATTTAACAAATCGAACCGAAACGCAATCCCGAAACACAATCATGTACAAGACTAGTACATAAATAAATGCTTAATAAGATAAAACAATCTCAAAAAAAAAAAAAAAGTTGCACAATGCCGCGCGCGCGCATTTTTCTTCCGGATGAAGTAATAATTTTATTAAATATCAACGTTATATAACACGACTATAAATTACACGCGAATGAAGAGACGATAACGATAGTAAAACAAAATTCGTACATATAAAAGAAGAACACATTACGTCTACTAAAGCTGATAAAGAAACATTTGCCGTTGTCGGGGCGGTCCTTACGATTCGCAAATCAAACCGCAAGTGTTGGGAGGGTAAAGTTCGACGGAGAGGAGGATAAAATCGTAATAGGAAGCTGAAGTAGATGATGAAGAAAGGAAAGGACGCCTCTTGATCGAGTCTGGGCTTGAGCTCGCACCTTTTCATCGCTATTTATCTCTTCTAATTGTCTTTATCGTATAATAAATATATATATTATGTGTATATATATATAATATATATCATTATTTATATATATTCCACGTAATAATTTCATTTGTTCCTTCAACAGAAGTGCGCGACCAGCACCGTTTTCGACGGCTCGCTCGTTCGATGCTCACACCGGTGATCACGATAGCGTCGAGGACGACCAGAGACACCCCGTCGAGAACGATGCTGGAAGCGCACTAAGAACGCGCACCCCGTTCGTCCCGCTTCGCGTTTCCGAGAGTCCGGGAAACGCCAAGCGAACGATGGGCGCAAGGCGTCCGCAGTCGTTTTTTTTTCTTCTTTTTCTTAAAAAGAAAAGTTTTTTTTACCGACAATTTTGGAATCCAAGATTCGCATGCAAAAGCTACGCAACTACGTAATTACTGCGCGCGATTAATTGTTACTTTCCCACGACGCTCCGCGCGCGCGACAGTAATCGCGATAACGTCACTCGTGATCTTGGTTATTTCTGGCCGTTGACCGCGAGATTGTTCCCAATCTCGTGGCCTCGAAATTGGCCGCGGATGCGCTGACGGGACACGAGAGACCGCGTAATAGAGGTCGGCGATATGGAACACGAGGGATCACGGGATCGAATTCGGTGTGTAAGACGCGCGACAGATCACACTCGTGTAAACTCACACTCGTGTAAACTCACACTCGATCAACATGGTCAAGAGAGATATGTAGAGCAGAAAAAGACCGCGTAATCGAGATCGAGATATTCGGCATGTCCCATCTGCATTAATGAATGTGCCGATAGAACATGCCTACGTAATCACATAATCGAAATCGATATAGTTAATATGAAATACAATTTTAGATCCTCCGAGTGTCCCAATCGCGAGAAAACAGGACACGGATCTCGAAATAACCGATCGAAGAGTTTAGAGCAAGAAAAAAAGAGCACAAAGTATCGTCGTCTTGAAAAATTAGAAGATAAAATATATATAATAAAAGATAGAAAATATATAGCTGAATTATTGATGTTTGTGGAAAGATACAAGTCATATCAGCGATACCCAACGTCAAACAACTTCGATCTTTTTCTTTTCATAAAGACGTCTAGAGATATCAAAATTTTTATAAATAATGGAAGCATTCAAAGTCGACATGTAGGTTTCCATACCATAAACATTACAAGGACTGAAAAGGAGAAATATAATATCAATAAAAACTCACTACAAATAATGGAAGCATTGTTACATGCATTGTGTCTCGCGTATTGGATGCGCTATAAACGGAACCGTTCTGCGTCTCCTCATGTGCATCGTGCGTGAAACAAAATGCATATAATTTACGTTTTCTCGGTGCCACTTTACACGAAGCTGCAATTTTATCCGCGAGGGCAATACATAGTTCTTGCTTGAAACTCTTCGACTATCAATTAGACGAATACAACGGTCTCGTGATATCAGCCGCACTTCCGTTGCACAATGTCGTTTCCCTCACCGGACGAAGTAACTAAGCTCGCGAACCGATCGCGAAACCGTCCACGCGACGGCGTATCCGCAATAGAAAAAACGCTAACAACCGGCCTAATATTATTTAGCGCATCATCGTTCGTAGTAATAATTAATAATAATAATTCTCTCGTATTTCTCTCCCGTCTCGCGTCATCTTTTTTTTTCGTTTAAATATAAAAATGAAAACTAACATATCTTTGGCTTGTTCCCTTTACCAATCGGCGGCAGCTTGCGGCTGCGGCGTGCATCATTATTTTTTTTTCTTTTGTTTAAATAACTTTTTGTACAGTTTTGTACACTCGAGTGTGTCTGTGTACGCGCGTGCGTATCTTCTTCATCTCTCCATGTACGTAACTCCCGTTAAGGGGTGTATTTCATGTATACGTATGTTTATATACGTGTGTGTGTGTGTATGTGTGCACGTGTTGTACGTATATCAGTATGTTAGTATATGTATCAATTTTAACGTACAAGTCTTACTTTAAAGCGCGCACAAGTAGACTCCTTTCCGAGTACCTGCGAGTGTGCTACGTGAATACGTATTGTGTCTCTCTTTCTCTCTCTCGCTCTCTTTCTCTCTTCCTTTCTCACTGTCGTGTGTCTTGTTTCTTTTTTTTTTTGCAAGTGTATCGATTTGCAAGCTGGTTGAACACAGTGTGTGGCCCAGCCCCAGATGCCACTGACAGCTTCGCGCACTCCGCGATGCCCCGCGTCCTTTCGACGACGATAACGACCACGATGGCTCTCCACGTTTAGTGGATGGGTGATTTCACAATGTGGTCAGGTGGGATGAAGTGATACGCGGGCATAGCTACCCCCGACGTCTCCATCGATATCCTGAAACACAATCGGTCGGTCCGTTAGAAGGAGCAATATCCATTGCGTTTGATCGTGTCTGCCGACAAGTACGAGGGAAGAGTGCGCGTGACTTCCTAATCGAAAATCACATTTAACGTACGCTCATTTCGTTTATTCATTTTTCTTTTTTAACGCTTTACACTTTCCTCGTACCTGTAGAAAGACTTCGACAAAATCCCGAAACATTCCGACATCGGAGGAAAAGACTTAGCAAGGCGTATTCCATCTTTTCGTCCGAGTAAAGATGTTGCAACATGCGACGCGGAGGTAAAATATAACACGAATCTAGAGATTCTCCTGAAACCGTATGTAAGTCGACAAAGCTCGCGTTTTAATTGCATGCCCGGTCTACAAACTTTGTACGAACCATCAGCAGTGCGAGATTATAGAGACATTCGACCTGTGTTTAAACCTGCAAAATAAAGCTATTATTGCGTTCGCTAGGAGCAGAATGCAACGTTATAACTTGCGACTTTGAAGATGGTTTATAAAAATTTTGTCGCGCGCGAGATACATACTTTTTCTCGAAAACAGCGAGGATCTCTCGTGAGATCGAAAGGATTCGGATGGTTGGTCGTACATTTGGTATATTAAAAAAAAAAGACAAAAATAGACTGCGCAGCGATTGAATTTAAAAGAAAAAAAAAAGTAAAAATTAAAAAACGAAGTGTAAATGAAAATTTCGCAGCCAACGGTCGAAACAGGATAAGTCGATTTAACAGGACTACGAAGGAACGGATGGTGCTTACCAAAAACGGGCAGGAGCCTGGGTCAAGTTGGTTGGATGGATACATCTTCTCTCTTTCTCTCTCTCTCTCTCCCTTTCTTTACATCTCTTTCTGTGTAAGAGTTTCTCTCCGATCTTGGTTATATACGCTTACACTTACGTGTACATGGCGAGACATACATATGTATCGCCTTCAATGGCTCGTATTCTCAACGTACATTGAGCGTTAAAAGTAGTCGTCCGACTTGATCCCAAATTGTCGTGATTGATATAAATGTCGCATGAAAATACGAATGAGTACCGGCGCTGAATGTACCGGAATACGGCCAATTATATACATTTATACGACGCGTCGCTATCAGCGACGCCTGTACAGGTATACAATATCCTCGCGTTAATAAGAGACAAGTTTTATGAAAAATTTATTTGATCACGTAACTATTATCAATGGCAAAAGATTAAAGAAGCAAGTGGATAAAGCCATGTTCGCATTCTTATAATAAATTGAGATATCTTCATATGCATGTTCCTATAATAATTGAAAAACACATTAAAATTATATGTAGCGTTAGAATGTCACGAACTGAACGGAATATCTCTTTCATTCAGCTATTTTTTTCAATCATAACAGTTCAGCAAAAAATCAAAAGACTGATATAAAAATATCACATCTGAAAAAAGGTAGTAATAAAACGCTCAGGTGCCATAAAGGTGGTCGCGCAATATATTGGAGATTTCACTTTCAATTAAAAAGGAATATATAATTGACTAAAAAAAAAAGAAAAAGATTTTCATTATTCGTTACGAAAGTGCTTATAAATATTAAATGCTATCATAAAAATATCCCATGTGACTTTCCAATTAATTGCGAGACCTCACTCGCAGGAACGCCGAAGTTCTTTTTATTTGGTATTGTATTTCTCTTACTTGTATTAAACACGCCTAGCTTTATTTAACAAGATGATACAGGGTAGCTAAAGTCTGTTAAGCATATAAGCTCTGCAACATTGTTATAGAGACCAATGTACAGTTCAAGATTATCTGATCTATAAGATTCTATGCACGATGCAAGACCATCAGGTGTAGCAATGGCAAATTAATCAATCAGAGATTCTGAATAAAGAAATTTTCTATTTTCTCTTGCTGCCACAAGAAACATCTCTTCAATCATTATAGAATAAATTAAAAAATGAATTGCTGAATTATATCAGCTGTATAAGATTTTGTAATGCGTTTAAACGCATTCTGTATTCGTAACAATTTCTCGATTTATTATAACGACGCATTATATGGGTCATTGTTATACCCATTGCTTCACTTGATATACCTACATAAAAGGGACCTGCGTATACTTTAATGCATTATCGATTCTTCGCAATTTTCTCTTTTTTTATCCTCTTCACTGTGATCGCTTAGCGTCTTGGCCGTGAGTTTACTATTATTGTCTCGAAAAAGAAATGGAACGAGACCGTACAATCTAAAATGAAAAACGCAATGAAGATATCTCGCGATCAGGGCGATCAGGTTGATCCGATCGGTATAGATTTCTCTGTAAATAGAACCGGACAGCTATTATTTAACTGTTACGATTCCGATCGGAAACTCGAGTTTCCGATCGCGATTCCGTCCGTGTCTTTCAACTATTTATAAATCTCGTCGAAATCGGAATTCACTTTTTGCAGTATATGAAAGAGATATATACTTGATGCGAGACACGACCGTGTCTCTTGATACAGTAAAAAACAATGAAATACATTTCATATTTTTTACAATATTGGAACAATTTAATGAAAGTTCAAGCTTTCTAACATGAAATTCTTTTTAAATCACTTTTCATCAATTATTGAAAATATAAATGTAACTTTGAAGTTTCCGCTTTGACGTCAATATTCGTTCATTTCGGAATTTATCCGAATGTCTGTAATAGGACTGACAGAAGAACGGAATTGTTGAGATCGGAAACATTTTCGAACAGATACATAATAGCTGTCCTGATCTTCTTCTGATTACTGCGAGTTCTCCAATAAACCATGGCCACGCTCGTGATAGGTCAATACTTGATCGACAATCCGATCGTATGTCCTACGTTCGTGTGTCTGATCGGTCACTACTTGCAAATACTCGCTACAAACTAAGATTGAGCACACAAACACTTATATCTGGAGGATTCCGTTATCAATCATTTATCATGATCTCGAACTATTTTGTCTTTCTGTCGCAATTGCTTAGATCTAATCTCGATCGTATGTTCTTCCGCGACTAGATGATCTCGGTTCCACGTTTCTGATCGCTCACAGAACAGTAGACTAAGAAGAAAAAACGATCGTATTTTACCGTAGAATTAGAAATCTGATTGTGTCTTCTGCACGTGTTTTATTAGTTTGATTTCACAAAAAACATAATTTGCGCGAGCTCATACAGAACCCTGCGTGTCTCGCGCGTAGATGCATAAGGATTACGTGTAACTACCTTTACAACGATCACTATGTGTGTGTATAGCTTGATTGATTATTTCGTATAGCGATGATCGATTATATAATGCTTCACAAAGTTCACCCCGCTCGTCGTGCTCTAATAAACTACCCGATCGCTCGGCTGTAGATTGTTTTTCATAAGAAAGAAGATCGTAAGTCATTTTAAAGCACATTATATGATTACGACGTAGTATATTCTCAACACGACTTATTATAAAGAATGATAAACACATGATTCAAGATAATTTCTTTCACGCATCTCCCTTCCTTTTTTTTTATGCTTCATCACGCATACTCATTCACTCGCGCGCGAAATTTCTTTTTATTAATAGAGTTTCTATCGATTCTATTACGAGAAAAAAATCACATCAGAATAGCTACACTAATAAAAGTTCTTGTTCGAACAGTAATCAATCATAATCCATATAATATTATAATAATTACAATAATTATAATATAATGATATATTTATATATACTTTTATAAAAAAAAGGCTGTCTTGCGACGGTGCATGAGCGATCGCGTCCTCCGAGCCTATCAAAAATCGCTTATACAAAATAGTACGCAAATTATCAAAGAAAACTGAATGTCGTAAGGGATGTCAGCTGAATTTATCGTTAACATAATTTTCCACCGCTTTATTACTCGCACAATCAGTCTTTACACGATAGCATCGATCATCCCGATCTCGGAGGGCGTGTCACGATAGTGTATGTGTGGGTTCTAAGACTTAGCATTGGATCATACGGATTGACAGGTATTAATAAAGCAAAAGATTCTAAAGCTAAAGATTCTAAACGGACTCTCCGTTCTGGCTCTTTTCTTCCTTCCGCTATCAGGAAAAAAAAAAACAAAAAAAAATCAAATAAAAATTCTACAAAATATTTTCACAGTGATTCTTAGAAGAAAGTAAGTGAATATGGATAGAGTACCTCCGTAATTATTTTACCAAAATTCCAAAAATAAATCTCGCAAAAATCAGTGGTAAATCAGTTAAAATTAATTTTTAGAAAACTTACTTTGGCCGTATATCAACTTACCCAGTTAGACAATTATATTCGCATTTTCCATCTCAACAATCAACTAATAACAAAAACGACGAGTCGATCCTTCGCCAAGTCTTGATCCGTACTCGCTACCCTGGCGTCCGTACGCAACTTTGCTTCAGTGTTACACAAGTGTTCGCTACAGATGTACGTGTGTGATGTGTAGTGTATTCCCTGTAACATCGTGCTGCCGCTCGTCCGTTCGCTCAGTACGGATTATACTTGGTACGCTCGGATTTGAACTTGCCACTTTCGGTCGGGCCCGGTGCGCCGGGGCTACGTAGCCTCGGCGTGAAAGTCTTGTGTGATCGGTGCACGCCAGTGGTCTGGACCGGTAGCGCGGATGCAGCCGCGCCAGCAGCACTACCTAGCAATTCCGTGAGTCCGCCGAGGGCAGTGAGGCTAGATAGGGCGTTGAGGGCGCCTGGCTTGCTTAGCAGCTGAGCCAAGGGGATGGCACTGGCCAAGGGAGAGGCAGTGGTAGTGGTGGTAGAGGGGGAAGCACTGGCCCCGGATGCCCCGGGAGTGGTACCGCTGCCAGGGGTTTGGGTATTTTGGGCCTCTAAGTTAGCTTTCTGCAATTCGACACTGGGGAAAAGACACAAAATGTAAAAAGGTGAGGGCGGGAACGTTCCTCGTAAAACAGTGTCAAAGAGATTAAAAAAAAAAATAAATAAATAAATAAAACATAAAAGATGATAAAAAGTAAAGAGAAAAATAAAAAAGTAGTAGTAGTAGGAGCAGTATAGTAGTAGTAGTAGTAGTATAGTAGTAGTAGTAATAGTAGCAGTAGTAGTAATAATAACAGTAGCTGTCGCGGAGAGTTAACAAGACGATGTAAAGAGACCATAAGAAAAGAAGATAAATTAAATCACAAGTTGTAGGCTTAAGAGAGTTACGCCAGAAGTGCTCTGTGGAGCGTGATTATCACGTACACCGGCTACGTGGTTCGTGGGGAGAGTCTTAATCGCGTCAGGCCGCATTTAGACCCTACCGAAATGTCCCGCATTCATATCGGACAGGTTGACTGGCCGACGTGCGCGCATCGGGCATCGCCGGACAGTCAGATATGTCCGTAATAGCGAGATGCCGGACACGGTGCTCGGTCGAAATGCGTTCTATCGCGAAAGACGCGCAGCAAGGATGCACCATGAAGATAAAGCACGCGTTCGCTAGTCCACTTTTTAAAATTGCATTAATCTCCTGCCGGAAAACAAATGTCACATCCACCAGCTAACAGTAGATTTGCGAACGATTGCGATTGTTTCTAGGTGTGTAAACGGGCTCGCGGTTCGTTGTACAGACGGGAACACCATTGGAGAACGCCGGCCATCTCGCGAATATGCATTACGAGTCTCTTGTAACTTGCGTTTGCCACCAGAATAATCGGTCTCCATGATGCGCCGATAGAACGAACCGCAGCCTCGTGGCTTATAGAAGAGGCAGAAATCAAAGTAGATCAGGCGCAACGATATGCACTCTGCCACAGGCCGTATTAACTGTGTGCTCTGAGCGCATCACCCGCTGCTATTGATACGGCGGGATCGCGAGATGTGACATGAGTATAATCGCGACTGTGGACGGTCGATAATTGCCTCGTACATCACAGGCCGTCTGAATGGGGGAGGCTAGGATTAGAGAGATGGCAGAGTGCAGACCTTGGGCCGACGGGAGTGCTGGGATTACACGGCATGTAATAAACACGATGACAAAGTTAACGGGCGAAGTACAGAAGTATCGAAGTATGAATGAATATGATGAACATATACGGTCGCTATTTTATATGCAGTAGTAAAATGTGAGTGGCAATCTGGAATAAAATATAATGGATTATAATTATAACGTGAGGGTGTATGGAAGTGTCGATCCGCGTGTTCGAATTGTACTTGGCTGATGTTGGTGAGGTCTTACACACATGTGCCACACGAAATCGTGCCGACTTTTCACTTATCATCGTTCTCGAATCACGTCGACGACTACGTTAGTACCGTTCACCATTTCTAATGTCGCTATGATGGAAGTAGATTAGTCCCACAGCGTAATTGAAATAAAAAATAAAGTAACAGATCTTGAACACCGACCAATGAAACATTAAGCGATTGGCAACAACAGCGATGAAGCGTATAACTAAAATGTAAAGATGCTACCGTAAAGATTCCTGGCAAGGACGAGGAAAACCTTTCACATTTATCGCGCAAATAAAATCGTATCGTTTATGCGATGCATCTTATATATACACTTATGTATATGCCATAAAAATATTCGCGGCGTCGAAGACAGATGGTTGATTTTTTTTTGCGAACCAAGTTAAACGGCGAAACAGAATTACAAGCGTAAATGTTAAGCTAATCGTCCATTACCGGGAGCCTGTCGGGCTAGAAAGAAACCGGGTCATTTTAAAAAACCGAATCGAGAAGAGGAACAGTGATACGTTTGTTTCAGGGACTGTTTCGGGGATTGATTGTCACTAACGCGGAGTGAAAGTCCTCGAGTACATCTTTTTTCTTTTTTTTTTCTTTTTTAATTATGTCTTTCAGTCGGTTTATTTGCTTAAAAGGACAGCCAGCGACAATGGGAACAGATGTTGAGCGGAGTTGTGTCTGCAGGATACTCGGGGTACTGGACCTGGAAGGCAGGACCTGGAAATAAAGGATTAAGAAATCCTCTTCCGTCTCGTGGCCGACGACGGTGTCTTCCAGTGTCTGCATACACGAACGCTGGCGTCTCGAGCATGGCCGTCGATGCGACGTTTTCTCCTCGCGTCTTTACCTTACGACTACGTACGACCTGTTACGCTGTAAACTGAGGTGGCGTTATATCATGATATTTACTCTCTCGTACGAAAATTTTCACGTGGTCACCATTACGTGATCATGGCGATAAATTACGTGCGCGTTCTCCAGTAATATCTTTTTCATAAGAATAACGCCACCTCTTTATAATACCTCTCGGCGACGCGCGGTAGAAACGACTTTTCCTGCCATGCGTATTGTTAAATAGAACTCTTTTTAAATAGAACAATTTTCTTCAATGTTAAATTAACATGTTACTCGTTTGTGAAAAGAAATAATATAATTCCATCTTCTTTTACAATCTGCATTATTTATAAGAGTTTAATGGAAAAACACAAGTGGACAAAAGTCGTCTATACGCGGGTTGTCGTGAGTAAAGATGGCAACGATAATGATGGAAAATGTCGCGAGGGGTGCCGATTCGACTATCCCTTACACAGTCTCACCATTAAGACAAAGTCAAGTGAGGCAGCAGGTTGTGCGAGGAACGAGTAACACAAACAGGCGAATCGGCGGGTTTTCGATTGGACGGGTCAACAAGAAGTCAATCTCTACGTCCGCGCACTATCCGGTGAGCGGTGTCAGCAGAGATGCGGGGAAAGAAAAGAAATATATATATATATAATATATATGTATACAAATAAAAAAAAAAATAAATAACAGAGATCAAGGGGAATGCATCGCGATCCACTGCAAAACGTAGCCGGGACGAGTTTGACTGCTTCAAATTAGGGAAATAAGATTTGTGACACTGAAAGCCGAACCTTGGACGAACCTCTCGGAATGGCTTCCTGTCAATCCGAAGGTTGACCTTCGGTCTGACCGGGCCTGAGGAAATAGCGCACAGGCCACGTGGTACTCACCTCATATTGATGAGATATTGTGCCAACCCCACGGCTTCCGGATTCCCGGTTATGGTGATCGTGCGGTCCGTTGCTCCGCCCTCCCTCTCCTCGCAGTTGCTGATTCTGATCATGGCGCCGGAGATCTGACGGATCTCGGCGATCTTGGTACCGCCCTTTCCGATGATGCAACCGATCAACTCGTTTGGCACGGTCATCTCGTGCGTCTGATTGTTCGCCGCTGGTTGCTGCCTGTTCGTGTTGCTTGTACGCAGCTGGCTCCCGGCCAATGCAGCCAATGCTATGCGACCATTAATTGCGCAAATATTAGAAAAGTTTCTCTCCGAAAATCTCAAGCGCGGATAAAATGTGAAAATGGGCGATTAAAAGGGCGACCGAAAGAAGAAACACAAGTTAAATTACTCGCACTAAAACTATTCTCGCAAATTAGTAACGTTAGTTCAAGTTCAACAGAATGGATTTAGCCGGTTCTATCCCCTTTCCTATTCCCGTTCTGTTTCTGGAACTCCAATAAATTTTAGCTAATGTTTGCGAAGACGATCCATAAATTATAAGTTTTCATAATATACATTAGTACATTTTAGTGCTGTGATAATTCTTAGTCGGTAAGGTTCCTTTATACAAGAAGACTTTGTTGCAAACATGAGGCATCAATTTACCTTTCAAGTTAAGTTTTCAAGTATATATGTTCTAATAAATATTATCTCTACTTCATTCGATTGCCCTTTCAATTAATTTAAATTAAAATTAATTAATTATAAGAAATATACCGGTGGAAAAGTAAAGGGGAGAATAAATGAATTCATGTACATTCGCCCTCTTATGAATCATAGGCTTGTACCAGTCGTGTGATTCATATATAGCACAACGGAGGAAAGTAAAACGAATGGGTTTGCTACACAAGCTTCCTTGCGAGAGTACAACAGTACAACGGTACAACACTAGACGGGTGCTTGCCGACCTATGATTTCTCGACAACATATTTCGCTTACCTGCCGGATTAAGACCACCTGTGTTCGCTGGTGTGGCAAGGCCTCCGAGACCTAAGGCTGCCAGTCCTGCCAAAGGATTACTGCCCAGCTTGCCCATCTGCAACAACGACGAAGAGATCCATCGTTCAAACATTAAGAGCCGCGGGCAACGAATAGTCACTCTGGGGTGTGCTTAAAAGAGAAGAGGGTTTACGACGACACCGAAAAGTGTATCTATTGTCTGAACCTGTCTCCGCGTTCTCGCGCGAGGATCTTCGATTGCGAGCAAGAACCTTTGGCTCAGAAGGGGGGGGGGGGGCAGGCTCACTGAGAGAGATCGTTCGGTTCTACGTGGAAAGGGGGGAAAGGACGTCTTCTTCCGCGCGCAGTTGACGATTCATCGACCATCTCGTCCCATCATATTGGCGCGCGCGCGAAACTCTCAGTGCCGTCGTCTCGCATCCTTCGCGACGAACGTAATCGATGGGGTCGTCCCGACTTCCTGGGACCGGTCCGACGGCTTATTCGTAACGGGCTCCACGAGGACCATTTGAGCGTACACTTTTTAACTACGTCGACCCAGAGCAAAAATTTGAGCGCGGCTAAATAGACAAAGTTTTAACGACGATTGTTTCTACTTCTCATGTTACAAGAAAAATGTTACATTGTTAAAGTTCCGTCTTGCCATCTTCTTACCAATCACAAGTTTTGCCATCATTAATCCATGAGAAATTATACTAATAACCAAAATAAATTATAGCTGTATCAAATTACAAAACAAAAAGATATTGCTTGAATTTCAAGTATTTTGAATTTTAATATGGATGTATTCAGTTTATTTCGGAAATATTACTTTATTTTAAATCTTCGTACGATTACATTCTACGAGAATCTCACACGTTTATTGAAAAAGTGTAAAAATTTACATGTGTTTGAAATCGAATTAATTTACGAATTGCGAGATATTGTAAAAAATAATTCTGGGAAGACGAGCGCAACGCGACGCCAAAATGGTCGTCAATAAAATGGACTGTAATGCGCCGTGCCGCGTTACTTCGAAAATCGTGGCAGAAATTACTCGGGAACAGCTTGATGAAGAGGGAACGCTCAGAAATTACAGAAAGAGAGAGCGAACGAGGCGGAGAGAAGGACTTGTATCCTTGTTATCTCTCATTATTGTGATACTGTTACGAGTGAAGTAATCGCGATAATTCTCTTCGTTTCTACCGTTTCCACGTTACACAAGTACTTACACGATATATTTAGTACCACTTTGCATCGAAAAACATTTTCGCACTTTATCGAATATAATTCACTACGAGATCCTAAGAACGTATTACGATTGCGATTGTAATCACTGTCATAATTAGAAGATGAAAAATCATCTCAAGTATTCTAATGCCTTAAACATATTAATCATGAATTAATTTCAGTCGCTGCAATAATTATTTCAGTGAACACTCAAATAAATCGATCGCTTCAAATAAATTAAAAATTGTAAAAAAAAATTGTATCTGCTAATTATTAATGGTGTCCTATTTTCATTTTTCAAAAAAGGATGAAATGAAAGGTAGACGGAGGGAAGGGAGAACGTAGGTAATATCGTGTTCTTAAACGAATGATAACATTTCATTCTCTCTATCAATGTTATCTAAACTAACATATGTGCAAAATCTTTAACGTTTTAACATTGTATGTAATGTCTTGAAATTAATTCATATTAAGATAACATTAATAATTATAATACATGTTATCTTAATATTTATGCATATATGTTATATAACATACATATGTATATGTGAAGGTTTAATCAAATTCTCTATAAAATAATCTTTAATCTAACTTCAAAGTTATTAGTAAAATTCCATATTATCGTGTGGCATATCATTATATATCTGTGGAATAAAAATTTAAGTAAAATTTCTCGCATAATAATCATATAATCGAAAAATATTTTATGTATGGAGCTATTTAATCATATATTTTCACTAAAAATTCGAGAAAAGGAGACCAAATCCTTTAAAATTAACAACACTTCTGAAATATTATTAATATAGATTCGGGTCTGCGATTCACGAATGCGCAAACGCCTCTTTCGTAGACAACTGTCTCAATGTGATCTTTAATGTATTTAAATGGTGGAAACGTAATGTACAGGGCAGCCCACCCTTACGCGAACTCGTCGCTGACTCTTAGCTAAAAGAGTGCCGGAAGCCATGCTGTTCTAAACAGGATGCCAAGAAGGGACAATGGACAACTCAGGAAAAAGGCGAAGAAACGAACAAAACGTAGCGCGGCAGTCTGACAAGAGCGATATTAAATGTCTGTATATGTAAGTTTGCGTATTTGTATGAAAGGGATTTCACTTGTTTTTTATTTCTCGCACAGTTAAAGTTAAAAGGCTTTACGAATGTGTAAATATATATAAATGCAGTTAATTAAACAAATTTGCATATAACAATTTATTTTACTGGTAAAAAAAAATTAATATTTTCCAAATCAAATTATATTTTAATCAAGATAAAAAGACTATTTTGGGTAAATATTTTGGATAAATTTAATATTTTAATTTTATTTTTGTGCTCCGATTTAATGTTTAAACTAAAGTTTAAACAATTTTATAATTATTAAACGCTACATAATACAAAAAGTATAACTCTTTCTTTATTTTATAATTTTCACACATAATCAAGTTATAAATAAAATTTTGTTGAAGTAAAGTTTACGTAAAATTAAATAAAAACTGAAATCTAATTAATTACCTCCACAAAATTTAATTTCCGGAAAGCCTTTTATTTTCTGCCATTTGAAGACCATTTCGTGAATTAATTTAGATCAATTAAAATGAAGTCTATTAAGATCTATTAGAATTAAATGAAGAATGATCTAGTAATATAATCAGCGATATAATACATAATTAATTCACATTATACAGAAACTTAAAGTTGAATAGTTGCATAAGAAGCGAGAAATAAATGTTTAGAACAAATGCATGATAATTACATTCATATGAAATTATGACCACGTCTGTAGTGTCTTTCTCCAATTGTCTTTCTCCCACCCCCCTTTTTTAAAGGGAACATCGGTTGCTATCGGGAAAGGAAAGTAAGTTTTAAAAGGAGTAGGGAATGATTTCTTGTGAGACCGTATAGAGAAAAGTAGAAAGAAAAACACAAAATCGGAGACAGTGTACGGAGGACAAGAAGCGAAGTAGTAATCGTGTACTGTAAGCCGTAGAGTTTATCAAGCAGACTGAAAAACTGAGAAAGTATCAAAGATGGGATCGTGAAAGTAGATATAAAGCGCAATAGTAATAATATACCTAGGTAGATCTACCTCTTTTCGTGCCACGCATGCATTTTTGTTCGTTGTGATTTTGTATTTTTTTTTTTTTAAATATGCTTCTGCCGATCAACCCAACCCTTTCAGCCACGCCTCTCGAAGTTGACGGACAATAAGAGAGATCGAATAGGAAGAAAGGAAGAAAAAAAAGACTGGTCAAGCCGCAATATATCCGAAGGTAATGGGATGTATTATGATATGAATATGTTTCCTTTTATATTTCGCACATCTCGCGTCGTTTATTTCATTTCCGGGTAGCAAATCGGACTCGAGGAAGTCGGGCTCCGTGTCGGTCGTCGGTCGTTGAAAAGCGCACAGAAAGAGAAGATAGGACAGAAGGTAAAGACACGACGACACGCCATCCTGATAATGCTTTGTCAAAACATTCGTGTGATTCAACTTCCGAAGCGCAGGAAATCCGATACAGTTACCAGATTGAATTACGACTTTCTGTTAAAAAGGCTTGTTGAAAGATAAAAAATACGTATTTTTGAAATCAACAAAATTGCAAGCGTAGTGAAAGCAAATATGTATTTCGATTGATTTGTAACTTAATGCAACATAAAATTTAATCTGTGCGCGTGCGTGTATGTTTGTACTTTCAAAGCGTAATTCATCGGAATCATTTGATCGTGACGAAAAACAGAAATTTGAATCCGCGGAATCTAGATCTGATATTTTGATATCCTGATATTCAAATGCAACATCAAACAAGCTTTTTAGTAAATTAAACTATTAACAGGAGTAGTTCAGCATTACGGTATTATAAAAAGGAGAGAAAAAAACGCCGTGATAAAAAACAAATGACGCGGGTATATTCGAAATGACATTTCGAAATTTCCTGTTGCGTTTCGCGAATGATTTTTCGATTGAATTTCTAGTACGGGCATTTATCAGGTTGACGTTTCATGGCATCTGCCGATCGATCAGCCGGACGAGTGGATTTTCGGAGCACCACCATAGATAGCTCGAATCGTCTATATATTTGGCGATATCGATTTGGCTTCCTCATAGATCACAAGCCATTCGTGGAGACTTGGTGGCGGTAACATCTGGGACCTTCTATATGTCTCTCTCTCTGACCGAATCCAACGACAAGCCATGACGAATCCATTGTGCGACCCGTGAGCAAGCATTCATGCTAAAGCAGGCTCGATCGTTCGGCGTGAGACCTCGGAGCAAATTCGCATTTTTGCCTCCAAGTTCCTTCCGAGAGTGAGCAAATTGCCGCTCTCGGACGATGATCGTATCGACAAAGTTAGATTCATTTATCTGCTCGTTGCAGTCGGTTTGTATTGATATACTGAATACAGAGACCGATTAAAAACTCAACAATTCTGCATTTTTTCTCACCTAAAAATATGCGTCAACAATACGTAAAGAAAATAGGTCATACATAAAAGAGTGAAACAGTTATAATTGGCACTTCAATACGATCATCAACGGAACGATGTAAATGCAGTGACTAAATGCTCCGACAGAAACATTTGAATACCAAGTTGCAAATCAATATAGACTCGAAAATCACATTACAAATAAAAAAGACATAAATTGATTAATTACCGAAATGTGATTGAACCAAAAATTAATTTTTCGAACTAATTAATTCCAATCAAATCAGAACTAAATTGACAGAAACCAAATTAATCCAGATTCAATAATACGTATATAAATTATGACTATTCTTTAAAATTAAAAGATATTAAAATTAGTCGCTGGATAATTTTTTATGAGAAATATTCCAACATCAATCAAAAAGTTGTCGCAAATTTCTTGTTTGCATGTCAACGTGGTACCAGAACTTGTATCATGTCGTGCAGTCGCACTCTTTTTACTTGGCATGCATCATCGAATTCCTCTATGCACTGTGAAGGATGGCAAGCAACTCTTAAGGTGATCAACCCACTACCAATCGCAAGCATACGAAAGGAGACACATTTAACACAGGCTCAGATCGAACTTGTCAGAAGCGTCGGAGAACGTTTAGAACTTAAAAAAAAAAAAGTAATCCAGAGAGAAAAGCGTGCATGTAACGACATGTGCGGACCACATAAAAAGCAAAGCTGGCAAACTTCGCGTGACTTCGCTGATACCGTATGATGATTAAAAAAATATTTATCTCTCGATAATCTCTCGTTTCTAATCCGCCAGAAAGAAAAGATAAGATTGTTTAACTCGCAATTATTAAAATACAATTCGTGTTTTCATTTGACGACTAAAAAAAAACTGCAAATTATACTTTTACACTTTCGATAAGAAAGACATTCGCGTGGCGATCAATGACAAAGTGGTCCCCGATGAAGTCGTGTTAGGAGTTGTTATTAAAGATAATTACAGCATGCCTCATTCTACAAGAATATGTTTGATCAGATGCGTTCGCAGTCGAAGTCACGCGACCAGAAAACGTTTAAAGGTATGCACGGTCGGAGCTAATTGCATGACAGGGTTTTTCTTCGCTCGCATTTCTCGCAAGTTGAGAACAACTCGCAAGACATCGCGACACACGAATACCCATGAACAAAAAAACTCGCAACCGTACGGGAATGTCGAGCAGAAAGCCAAGGTGTTGATGCATGTACGCGGAGGGGGAAGAGGGACAGCAAAGAGCTTCAAGAGGAGGAGGACCAGGTGGCGAGAGAGAAATACCGATGCTGATAAACATATTATGAGCTCCCATGGTGTTTGACGAAATTTGGAACGATGCCGAGTCCACAGTTGTGCGCTGAATTGCATTACAAATTCTTTTATATCGTTACATTATCTTGCGTTTCGCACAACCGAATCGTAAATTCCGGATTCGATGAAATTATCGCTATCTCAACGTCATCTCGTGTCGAATCGAAAAAGATGATTTATTATATAACACAGATTTTCTCTTGAAAAAAAAAAAATTCTTCCTAGCACGATTAATCTTTCAAACCACAATGTAAAAGATGTATATAACTGCTGAATTATTCTACTATTGTTCGGTTCGATGAATTGCTTTAGCAAAGTGATGGTTAAAACGCGAAAAAAAACTCAAATGCGAATTAAATCAACATCAGCAAACCGCGAGCAAGAGAGATTGCGATTGAATAAAACCTCTACGTTAATCCACAAACTTTTTCCAACTATCGTACGCTTCCGCCTTTAACCGCCGTTTAACCGTTGTTTCAACGAACAGTAGTAATTACACGCTTGACCATTCGTTAAAGCTATCAAACTTTCTACCTCGAGATTAGTAATATAATCGCGAAGCAGCCTTATTAGTACCGTGAACCTCGCTGCTTCATTATACGGGTGATTTCTTTTTCTCAGCTACTGTACGGAAAAACACAATAAACATAAATATTCAGACGCTGAAGATACCTGAGAAATATAGCTCTTAGCTGTAATAGCCGCTTTCAACGCTTTCGCAATGTAATTTTCAGACTTTCTTGTAGATTACCGCGTTTTTCCATACACCGTCCGGACTTTTCTCGCAATCGTTCCAATTTCGAGTTCCAACCACCGAGATCGCCGGGTTGAAATTTTGCAGGATACATCGAGGATCGTGTGCAGTGAGGGGACACCGAACGGGTTGGGGTGTATCGATTTTCGGACAAGTGGAACGGAAATTCATCCGTTATGTATATATTATTGAGGAGATATATATGGGTAGGTCGAGGGTGGTCGAGAAAAGGTAAGGGAAAGGGGGGGCGGATCACGAAAAACAAAAGACTTACGGCGTCTGCCACGAGGTGTGCGGGCGGGAGGGCTGCCTGCAAGTGTCCACTCTTCAGCAGGGGGTCGGCGAGGCCTGCCACGCTGGCGTGTAAGGGGCTCGGGTGGAGAGGATGATGTGGGGTCGTAAGGTGGGCCGTGGATAGGAGCGGGTGCCCGTGAGAAGCGGCGAAGGCCGAGGACGAGGGGTGAGCCGCGAAGGGCGAGGTCGTCAAAGTTTGGGTGTTCAGCGAGGGCGGGGTGGGCCCGGCAGCGGGCGCGGGCAATGGTAATACTGTACTTACGTCCGAGTGGGCGGGCACCGCGTAATTACCCTGGATGGTGTAGGCTTGCCCACCAGCCAGGATCACTGGCCCACCGACTTGGGGTTTGGGGCGATAAGGGATCGTGGCACCTTTGGGAGGGGACTGAAACAGAAAAAAACACACGCACGAGTGCGAATACACCGATCGAGTTATTACAGATTTGATACGGCGTCCGTATTGTCATCGAGAGATGGCCCTTTCGCCCTATTAAAGTCCAAAGTGTGAACATAACGACTCGGGTTAAGAAAAAGTCCTCTTTGCAACAAGAAATATTATATTTTTCTGACAAAAATTTGCGAAAAAAGTCTAATCAAGATTACTGTCGGCATTCATTTATTCTGGACTTTAATAGGCCAGTCTAGTTCATTGTAGTTTGATAACATCAATAAAATCAGAAATTGTTTAGTTGCGTGCGGTTAATTTTTTTTCAATATTAACTTTATTATAATACGATAAGCGCTATTGTAATTAAGCTTTGATCGCTGGCACAGATACTGTTCATCGTCAAATCAATAATCGTGTGAACACATATTTATATATAACCTCAACAAAATTAACAATGTGCTCAATAAATAATTATATTCGTGGAAATTATTTTCGGTTACTTGTTACTGTGGAAAATAACTTCTTCATCAAGGACTCGAAAATACGAACCACGATGAATCTAGACTATTTCGTCGACCATTGGGAGAGGTCGTAGGGCCCATGATACGTACCTCTAGCATAACGCAGCAGATATGATATATGCATTGCGTGATTGCTTCGCTGGTACCAGATATGGTTACTGCACGTTCTGTCGAGTTAGGCAGCATCTCGGAAGCGACTTGGATAGATGCGCCAGTGACTTCGCGGATTTCCTTGATCTTGGAGCCGCCCTTGCCGATCAAGGAACCGCACTGCGAAGCAGGTACGATCAGTCTCAGTGTAATAGGCGGCCTCGAGACACCACCGCCGCCTCCGGCGCCGCCACCCTGGATGTCGTGAAACTGGGAGCACCATTCCTCAAATTTCTTGCATATCAACGTGAACGCCTTGAAGATCGAGTTCGTCGGCCCGGTGACCGTCACTATTCGCTCCGGGCAGGAACCATCGGAGATATTGATTTTCGCGCCAGACTGCGTCGTGCGAATGGAAAATTATTACCGATCGTAGGCTTTCGCATACATGTGTATATATATATATATATGTATAAACTATATTCAGCTTCAAATATTCGATAATCAATGTCTGCTATTCTAAAGAGTTAGTGCGGACAAAAGAGGTTGATTGAAAACAGAAAACCAATTTAAAAGACATATAAATCTATCCTTGACAGCTGAAACTGAGTATAAGACAATGATAAAACTTTTCATGTTTTCGTGTGAAATATCATCTTTCGAGATATAACATCATGCAACTGTATATGACTCTTATTTTTCATTGTCAGAAGATATGCGAGTCTCGCAACACGAATGCGCGTAATTGATACTTACCTCCTCACGGAACCTCTTGACGATCTCGCCTTTTTTCCCGATAATACTGCCGACTTCCTGTAACATGATAAAAATATTCTGTTAGTTTAAATGCCATTTATAACATTTTCGCAGTTATCCACACGCTACATTTAATTGCATTTGATTACTATTATATTATATGTTCTGGAATACAGAAATTATTTTGAATTCTTTCAAAAATAAAAGTGTTAAATATGCAATATTAATATCACAAGATGTATTTGACTTAAAAATAAATCGGTTCTCAATTAGTAACAAGCCATAATTCTGCCAAATGTGTTAATGTCACGATACTCTTGATACATCAAGCAATCAGTACATCATGTAGAAGGAAGTTACTATGAGACATATACGAGAATGAATGACAGAATTGGCACACAAGCCTATAATTAATGTTAGATACATAAGTAGCCGATGTCCACTCAAACTTCGCGTTTGCCCTGACACTGTCTGACCTCAAGATAATGTCACTGTTAGGCTTCTCTCAGCCAGCAGGTATATTCCTGCGCTCTCTCTAAACTTAGATGACGCCTCCCGGACGAAATGCCAACGTCCCTCGGACGTTGACGAGCCGTATTCGTGTGGACGTTCGCGTATTTCGCGTCGGGTTCACCGTCTCTTTGTTCGGCGTCTCAAAAGAAGTTTATTTCATACTATATCAGCGCATTTTATCCTCGAATATCCTCAAAATCCAACTGCTAGATTTCAATGTAAAATTGCAAGTTTGCAAATGTCACGGCGAGTGCTGACTATAATTAAATTTACACGCTTCTTAGTGCCGCTCGTTTCGCGAACACAAGTAAATCAACGGCGGCGACAGTCGCGAATTCCTATCGATGTGCACGAGGTAACGTGATTGGACAAGCATCATCGTCGACGAATTAGATGCACGCCGAGGCAAATATAGCCGGAACAAGAAGATAGCGAGACGATGAGGGAAGAAGGCTTGGCGACGCGCCAGACACGAGGGTCACCGACGATCGGCGAAATTCGCGAGATTGCAAATCCTCGGGACCGAATCGTGTCGCGCCGCGTTATCAATCCAGGCAGGACATCATGGCGGCTTTGCCACGGATGCCTCTTCCGAGAGAGCTATGTATAGTCGCGCGCGTTGCCGGTCAATAGTTTGAGAGCAGCCTACTTTTATGAAATAGGATTAAAAGTTTTCCGATATCGTCCCAGTTCCGTAAATACCGCGTCGTTACAAAAGGCAGGAGTAAGGCAGAAAATGGTGAACAATAGAGAACGAAAAAAAAAGGCACGAGCCTCTGTATTAAATACTTCAAATGACATTTCGATTCGAGAAGCGTTAACAATACGCGCTTCGTAAATACAAAATGAGCAACAAGTGGCGAACGACGGTGAAAAGAAGTTTCACGGAGATGTCATGGGCAAAAATTTAATTACACATTTAGTCGCACAAAGAGCACGAAGTCCACTTCGAGGAAAAGAAAAAGTAGCAAAAACTAAAGAGCAAACTTCTACGATTGCAAACCGGAACGGTTCCTGAGGGCTCGCGGGTATGACCAGTTTGGCCGGTGGCCCTGGCTGCGGTCCAATTCCGCCGCTGGAGTCCAGCGGACTTGTCGAAAAGCTCGGAAGGGAAATACACGGGCGAGGAGAAAGCAGGCGCGTCCCTTTTTCCCGGATTTGGTGGATATTAATTGTCATTTTTTGCAACGTCTGGACTCGCAGCGGCGAAAAGTTAGAGGGGGAAACTGACGCTACGTGGCCGAGACGGAAAGAAAATATTGGGATAACAGCTACGAGTCCGCTGGCAGATAAGCTACAGTCTGGACTCGAGCCAAATATTTACGCCATAGCACAAAGACGCAGCAAAGTGGTCATGACATTGTTCGGCGATACAATGACGAAAATGATCTCACGCAATGCTGGAAGCTAATAGCTAATAGCTTCGATAATTATTCGAAAGAGAATTTTTGGATAACAAGTTTTCGGGACGCTTCATTCTAAGGCGACAATTAAAAGAACTTGCAACAGAAATATATTCTACTTCTCTTCATAAAAGATTAATAAGTTTGTTAATCAATTTTTCAAGCTAGCTTATTCCTTCATATTTTTTCTTCGTCGTTTTTTTGTGATATTTTTTATTTTTTATAAATGTTTTGCTATTTATATTTAATAATAATAGTTTAAATAAATAATATTATATAAAAAAAATTATCTGATTTTCGTTCGGATCAATTTATGGAATATATTTCGTCTACAAAGTTTACGAACGCGCATCGGAAGAATAATGGAATCATGATAATTCGCAATGCACCGACCGATTGGCGTTTGGCCCTGGCCGGTGTCCAGTCTGCCCCAGAAGACCACAGTACATATTCTAACGGCAGACATAATGCCTCTTCGGCCAAAAATGCGGCCAGACGTATTTATTTCGCACGAAAGAGGCTGCTCCGACTATCCATTTACTTGCGAAGCTTCCAAAGTGAGTTTTGCAATACGCGCAACCACGGCATTGGCGAGGCCGGACGTAAAGAAGAGCGTAATTAATAAATGTCTATGAAATTAAATAGGCGTTTGTCGTGTCTGGATTGTGATGTCCGAGTGACGATCCGATCGATACTACTTCACTATTTTATTCTCGAAATCTTCCTTAAATTGAAATAATTGTAAAATAATAAAAAATAAAAATTAAAGAGAAGAGAAAGATGGGGGTTTCGATAATTCGATACAGGCGAGTTTGAGAAATTTCCGAAACAACGCCCGTTAAAATTACAGATAAAATTTGCAATGTAAAATACAAAAATTAAATTACGAAAAGCTAGGTAATTGCTTAACATAAGAACAATATTCTATTTGAATATTAAGAAATCTAATTAAAATTTGCGATGGAAAAATCAGTGTTCAGTTCGTAACTTTCTAATTAAATTAGTCGTTGTTCATGATCCCGTCTCGTCGTAATAAATATGCGTATAATTAGCGAGGTCCTGCTTGCTTTCATCATTAATCTCCGGGTGAATTAATTTTCATTTTGCTGCATGCAAACACCTTGAAAAAAAAACGAAGGGCTGAACCCTTCGAATACGCCGTGACGCTGTCGGCATCATCACGCCGAGACGCGAAAACACGAGTGTAATGAGATTTGTCATGGAAATATTTCCTCGTACCGGCGACAGGGGGTTCATTTAGGCTCAGCGAAAGAATCAGATCCGGCTGAGGGTCGGCGGAGTGTCGGGAAATCCTCCAAAAAAAGTGACTCGACGAAAGTGCATCGATAGAACAAGGAGAGTTGAACTTCGTGCGCGGCTGAGTATCATTCAAATATGCAGGAATATGCAATAATTTCTATGTCGCACTTTAGCACGAACTCGCGCGGTCACGTGTATGTACATACGTGGACTTTTTAGACTTTGATTGACGACAGTTTTTCTCTGGAATATAAATCAAATATCGAATGCTGTCAAACGTCGGATAACAAACACCGTATAAATCACCGTATTCTCTCTTCAATAATTTAACCTTTTTTTTTTTATTTTTTCAACGCGTTTTCTAATCTCGGAACTTTTTCCAATTCATACCGTTTTATAGTGCATTTGCAAAGTTCACCAACTTGGAAAGAATCCTAATGATTCCCGTATTTTGTCATAAATCTTGGGCACAATACAGTCAGATAAGCACCGAACTAACTAGTCCGAGGCGGTTGGAAAATTGCTGAATTCGACATTCTTCTATTAATAGCACAGAAAGCACTGATAAGGAATTGCAAAACTTGGCAAGAGTGCGATCGCGAGCGAAAAGATCTGCGCATCGAAGGGGACATTGGCGTCTAGCTAGCGCGATTAATTACCAAGACGGCGGACATTAATTACTCGTGCTACGACGAGCGATATTGCACCTAGTGCACGATAATTAATTACAAGCAGAAACGGCGGTAGATGACATGTCCCCAGAACGAGGGTAGACTGTGAGCACCGACTAAATAAACTTTGACACTTGTGCCGCGAAAAGCCAGCTTCAGGAGACCTATTTTTCTGCAGAAATTCTGTTTTGCGATAATCTCGTATGACGTAATTATTGATACACGCGAATCGAATTATGTGTCCTTGACGAGTTTTCACTCTCGGTCTGTGAAATTTTTCATATTTTTTTTCTCTAGACTATCAAAATGTCAAATTTTTTTCTAGCTTTTTATGAATACAGATTTATAGAATATTTAATTAATATAAATATAAAGAACTCTTAATTAGTTGTAAAATACATCGATTAAAAATTTCAAAAACTAAAAATGAATAGCTCGTTATAAAATGACAAGTGGCTGATCACTAAAGTCGATCATTTTCTATGACTGAGAATGAAATCTCGGACAGACGTAACCACAGTGTGCCACTCTCGCAGATATCCACAAAAGAAAGGCATAACATGCAAGAGAAAGAGTCCAAGCGCATATCGAAAATTGCTTTCGCCAATAACCACGAATGCTCTCTCCGTCATTGTGGAATTAAAACGTTTGTGTAATCACGCAATGGCCCTTTAGTCCGTTCTCCTACATAATTTTTTCATTCCTCCTTTTCCATCCCTGAATTCGCCAATTGAAATTCTGCACAAGCCCTTTTATCGTTTTCTTTTTTTCATATTATTCAAAAAGGACACACTCAGTAGATTTTAAATGAAATAGATTCCAGTCCGCGAGAGATATAGTTCGTAGCATAGTTAGTTTTAAACGAATAGACGACGCCAAGTAGTTGATTCTTCCCAACCATTTGCAATGGAATTCACGCATGCAATTCCATCACGGCGAAAATTGCTTTTAAATTTATCGGCCAGAAATTCTGCGGGAGCTCTACGTTGCAAATTCGATTCACTGCGACATGACAAAAAGGTTTAGCATAATGTTCAGCGAATTTTAGCCCAACACGAATTTACTTTTGGGACACTTAACATTGAAATTTACAACGTAACGATAATAGTACCGATGATAGTCGCAGCAAATTTCAGCTCCTTCATCAAACACTCCATAAGTAGAAATTATGTTCTCGTTGAAAAGTCGGTGGCCGATAGAAACTTGGCCGGTTATGCGACTTAGACCTGTGCACGAGAATCGTGTAGTTTCCGCGAAAAACAGCAATTTCAAATTCTTGGCAGCGCATCAAACACTCGCACGCTTCAGTACACGTTGTCTGCCTCGTGCGCAGCCAGAGACGTTTCCGATGATGTTTTTGCGCGAAGTACCGATTCACGTTCGGTGAGAAACATCGCGCAACGTGCAACTCATAATGACAGTTCATAACGGCTCCGAGTTGCCTTGATAGTGACATTATCTCAAGCGACGCAGTTATTTAATCCTCAAACGCGGCTTATTACACGCAAATAATATTGCAATTTTTAAATCTTGTTTTCGATTTTCTTATCGATTCGAACATTGTTGGCTAATAAAAGTCCAGTAGACACAACAAAAATTAGGTTTCGTTATTTCAACTTCCTGTGAGAATATGACGCGCGCGAGTGTCTCGCCAGTGTAAAATAAGCTTAATTTCCCCATTTCAATAGAAGGAGTTATGTTACAGAGTTATGTGCCAGAACGCGGTCACTAGCTACAATGTGTCGAAAGCGGTCGGTAGGCCTTACACAAATAATTTGTAATAATTGTCGAAAAGAGAACACTGTAAATGACAAAGATAACCGCGGATGTTCGAGATTTATCGTCGCCACGCCGGTTGACAAGAAACAATTATGCCATTTTCACGGAACGTCGACAAATAATATATTATGGTTTGAAGTGACGACGGAGAATGTTTAAACATTTTTATAATTAATAGAGCATAAACACAACATAGTGCGGCACGGCAGTAAATACGAAACGCCGGTCTGCCAAGTCTTGTTGACTTTTCCTAAAATTCTCTTCGGCAAACAGTTAACGCGTTTATTTTTAACGTGTTCTACAAACCATAAAGTCACATGCAATGTGCTCAGATACGAACGATAAATGTATAGATTTATACTCTGAATCGCGCTTTGGGAAATCGATATCAGTTGATACTTTGTGGGAGGTTGTTTGATACGACAAGATCCTCGACACATACGCATGCATATATGAGTTTTCCGCCCGCGATAATGTATTATCTTATTACTTCTCCAATTTCATGGCGAGTCACGCGAGCTTTCAAACGATAATAACTGACATAAATAAATAGTCTGCTTAAATCATCGAGCAATTGAGAAAACTATGTATAAAGATATATATTGAAGAATATTGAATTTCTTACAAAATCTCTTAATTCTTTAAAAAATAAATATATTTAATCGAAAGGTTCTAAATTTTGTATTAAAATAAAAAAAAAAAAAAAT